AATCGCATTTTATGAATATCTTCAAACGAATGACAACGCCTTCAAAAATAAAATAGCAATCTTATGCAGCGGAACGAGTTGCATGGCGATATTTGTTTTTGCTTTTGTGTTTAATTTTCCTCTATTCACTTATTTCATTTATTTCCCAAGTTTTCACTACCTATGTAAAACTTATGATTATTATTTTGCTAGGAATGCTGCCTACGGTTATTATCGACAGCAACGAAACTCCGCTGAATGAACACATCAGTAATAATAAAATTACATACCTAACTGTACATTAGCAAACACGGCACGATAAATCAATGTTATTTTTCCACATTAGTACCTGTCACTCAGGTATAGAAAACGACAAAAGTTAAATATTTTGTGTTGTATCTCCCTTGTAGCTCGCAGCGCCATCTCGTTTACCAATATAGAACTATCTGAATAGCTTTTTTCACACTTGTAGTATGCATAAAATCTACCAATTTGTTCCGCTATCACTGAGTGTGTGAATCAGACTTGATCCATGCATTATGCGCATATATCTGGTAAACTAGGCCAGTTTACTACGACATCAGATTTCCATATTTCTTCTCAACAACAGCTATAACTCTCAACAGTTGCTAACTTTTTGCGCAGAATAGGTTGCTTACTAATTAACTTTTGCAAGTAGATAGGGTGCTAATTAACCCTCTGCTTGCGTACCGTGGTGTATTATATGTAGCTAGCGAACTACTAACACAGCTAACACCTACAGCTGGCTCGGCTAATGAGATGCGTCCCTAGCGCGACACGATCAGGGCGGGGCTTTGCCATGGCTAGTTGTACTTCACTCGCCCCCAGTCTTTCTCTGGTACCTATCACCTACCTAATTACCTTTGCTTGTAATCAAATTATTCAACTTATAAGTACCACCTACTATCAATTCTTTAACCTTTTATTGTTCAAAACTCTTATTTATGATTCGACTACCTAATTTAAATTCTACACCAACATTTATTGCACCTATTATAAATTAAATAATAGAACAAATTACTACACATAACATTCATTTGACATGTTTCAACATTTTCTCAAGAATATAATTTCTGAAATTCCTAATTGCTATGACGCTATGACGCAATAAAGGTAAACATTACATCAGTTACAGTAGGTTACAGTATGCAAAACTTCCCGCTGTTTTATTTAAATTATTCCTTAATCGGTTATTCTGTCAATGTCATTCAATGAGACCGAAAATAAAATTATAGCTCACAGTGGCGCCACTATACTTTGCCCGTAACTCTTTCAGATTCAGTCAATGACGGGAAATAGGTATACACAAAACAAAGAGGTTGAAGTTTCGAAGGCCATCGTTTGCCGCGCTTCACAGGCGTGATACCAACCTTACGATTGAAAATGTCGTTTGGATACACGTACCAAAAGTAAAATATGTGTACCATAGACTAATTGCATTTTAACACAGGACATAAATATTTATTATTTATTTGTTAATTAACGAATGTGTGGATTTTGTTACTCAAATAAGACAAAAATATATTAGTGTGTTAGGTATGTATCGCGTGCTGTCAAACTTATGAAAGGGGTGTCCAGTCGTGACACGACACGTTGTGCTGCACAAGTATATCTCTAACCTAATAATATTTGTGGCTTAACATTCTTGTAATACTATGTACTCGCAAGAAAATTTTTGTAAAATTTCATTATTAGACACTTCTGTATATAGAGGTAGACAAAGGTCAATTTCGGTTTGTATTGTTGTTTAATTTTATTGTTATATAGGTCAAACAAAAAATCAAAATCTAAAATACCTAATCTTTTTCTTGTTATTCGAATCAGTAATTCATATGAATTTTCTAGATTTTTTATAAAAGTAGCTCCGTTTACTGCCAAAAACGATTAGTCTAGTTCGAATCTAATTGGAGAGAATTAGCAATACTCACGGAACAGAAAGCTTTTTGTTCTAAAACAGTTTTTTGCCACGAAACTGAAAGTTTTCTGTTCCGTGGCAATTCTTTTGGGCTTTTTGTGGCTCCAAGTAAGGAATTCTTCTTGAATCTTCCTTCGGCCCCTTAATCATGAGAATATAAACTCTGGGTTTATCAGACTCTTATTTATTGTGGTCCGACTTTTAGGCTCTACATCAAGATGCACGGTAGAGTGGCGTATGTTCAATATATGTCCGTTTTTCACCTTGGAGGCCCATGAAGACTCATAAAATGAACGCTGCCATATTGCGGCGTAACTTTCCATAATCCGTTGACCCCAAACAAACTTAAGAAGGCCGAAGGAAGGCAACATTTATTCTCCTACGCCTAGTGCGCTTGCTTTGACAGGTTAATTAGAGTAAGGATGTTATTGTCCCTCTTCACAGCCTCTTCCTACTCACTTAGATATTTTGAACAACAACAGAGTGACTCGTCTAACAGCTCACTCTACTAGCGTATGCCATACTGTCACAACGCCTTCACAATGATTGAGGTGATCCACCAATCGTCTGACTCTATGCCTATGCGACACAGGAACTTAACGGAGCAACCATGACCCGAGAGAATCTTATATAGAACAACAGGGACCTTGCTTGCTCCAGTATAATGGCGTTAATGTCTGCCCATTATTACTACCAGGATAACTTTAATTGTATAAAATATAATATAGACGTCATTACCGCTTATAAAATATATTAATGGGAGGGTGAGGGGTGAGGTCGCTCCTGTTTATCATATGACCACCCCAAATACTGTGAGGCTACCAGTCTTGATACTTTTAATAATTTAATAGAAATATTTTTTGTTAAATGTTAGGGAAAATATTTAGCTTTATTCCGCGAATTAAAACTAAATATTTTCCCTAACATTTAATGTCATGGATTTCCGCAAAGTAACGCCTGATTCTATAAATTAATAATTTTTGTTTCAAAAATTACAACAATGATTTATATAGCAAAGTTACTGCAATACTTATTTATTCGCAGTAATAAATAAGCAGTGACAAATAAGTATAACAGCTGTGGGTGTGGGTGGTTGTGAATGCGAGTTTCTGTGTATGTAAACGCATCCACAACACAAGAATTTACAATGGTTAAAAAAAGAAAACGATAATCAATACTTTTATAGCACTAACTCTTTTATTATTTATTGAATAAATGGCTGATAATCATAAAATAAGATAAATAGTAAAATTAAAAGATCTTTTAGAAAGTCGGGCACGCAGCAAATTTCATAAACAAGAACATCCCTATTGGATGATTATTTGTTTTAGGGAAAATGAAAGACAACAGTATAATTGGCTCTATAGAATCATCTGACTAAAGATAGTCAGAGATTATCTTTAAAACTGGCTTAATGTGAGGAAGACTCGCTTTTAATACTTTGTTTCAATGTTGTCCAAATCATCATTATCCTGATGTCGTCCACTGCTGGACATAGGCCTCCCCAATTGCACATGTTGTCCACATTTTGACAAAATTATTATTCCAATCCATGCGCCATCACACTTTAAAAAGCTTGGTCAGCTGCTACCTGAACGAATATATTCGTAAATTATTATTTAGGCATTTTTACAAAACAATGCTAAAATAAAATATTATAAAACACTGTGTTCCCATCTTTCAAGTATCTACATTATACAGCTGACGTATACGCGATATAAATTTACAAAACATAACCTCAATTGTTTATTTGAATTTAAGACCACAAAAACACAATAAACATATGTAACCGATAAAATCACGTATTAGAAAATAAATATATAATACTTTATTAACTAGACAAACATAAGTTTAGTAGATAAATACCAGTATTACCAGCAGAATTCTGATAAACATTATCCATTGGCGGCAAAATCGTTCCCGCTTCATATTTGGCCACATATCTCGAAAAAACATAATCTGTCACTATTAAGAGTAGTTTTAATCACTATAAATGACCAAGTGCGAGTAGTAATTGTAAGAATTAATCAATTAACCGTTGTGAAATATTGTAAAAAAACAGTGAAATAATACGAGGGAATTATTTTTTGACACAGAAACTACTGGTCTGGTAGTTGACGTTTTAACAGTGTCGCCACATCAAACGTTTTTTAGTTCCAAATGTCACCGCGTCAGACTTTTGCTTGCCAAGTTATATCTGAGATTGGTGCAGGGTAGACTATGGAACTTTAGTACTCACTTTTAATTCAACTTAATTGATATGAACCGAGATTGCTTTCAGCTCTATATGTAGGTATCACAAATTGGAAGGTCTGAAAGACTGACTCTTACTTCAGCAGAACGTGGGGATCTGCAGCAGAGCCTGCCATTTATTCATATGCATGTAAGTGCAACGCTACGTTGTACGTCGCTTACCAAAGCTCGCAAGTGGCTAATATACCACTCAATATACTTTTAAAATTTTTCTAGCAAAAGAACATTCTTTTGACATTAAAAAATATAACAACAAAGAACTTGCAAAATTAACCCAGACGTAGTAAGTTAAATTATGCACTATCAACACATTTTGCGATTCATTTATGAGAAATATAGATTTTTATAATAACTACCTATCGGTTATATACTAATCTATAATATACACTACAAAAAGTACCTATTCCCTGTTAATATAAGTAAAATATTGTTTTTCATTACTGAATTTGATATTACAATATTGAAAGTTTTGTTTAAACAATAACACTAAACTGTAGAATGCAAGCAGGTAGCCACCATCACCAGCATGAAGTATATTTGTGACCGTATTTAAGGATCAATTTTTGACCATAGATCGTGTTAAATATTTTTCTAAGCTATATTTTTTATCTGCATACATTCTGGCTGAATATTTTAAAACTAAATCGTTCCATAGACAATTTCTTGACGTCCGACGCCGTTCTTTTGATATCCGTTATATTGGTAGTGCTGTTGCTAACGCCATTTTTGTTGTTCACTAGAAGCTTCATAGGCTGTTTTTTTTTTACTCATTACCGTTGGGTATAGGTGCGACAGAGAGGAACGAATGAGACTGTAATACGTAGCTTCGATTAACCCGAATATTTTCTTCAAAGCTTATTTACGACGTTTCTCATTGTCTATGCTGTAGATACGCATCCCGAGCGATACATACGGTGTTAAAGCTTTTAGTGACAAATGTGTAGTAAAAATGAAGGAAAACGCCGTACTTAAGTGGCAAAAAGTGTACAATCCTACCGGCCCGCAACCACGACCTCGCCATGGCCATCGCGCGGTCGCCATAAAAGATTTGATGATAGTTTTCGGCGGCGGAAACGAAGGGATAGTTCATGAGCTTCACGTCTTCAATACCACTACAAACCAATGGTTCGTACCTGTTACTAAGGGAGAAGTACCACCAGGATGCGCTGCGTACGGCTTCGTGGTGGACGGAACGCGTCTCCTCGTTTTTGGCGGCATGGTGGAGTACGGCAAGTATTCTAATGATCTGTACGAGTTACAAGCCTCACGGTGGGAATGGAAGCGTCTCAAGCCCTTACCTCCCAAGCAGGGTCTCCCGCCTTGTCCCCGCCTCGGTCACAGCTTCACACTTCTAAATGGAAAGGTATACCTATTTGGTGGATTAGCCAATGAGAGCGATGACCCTAAGAATAACATCCCAAGGTACCTAAATGACTTGTATACCTTAGAGCTTTACCCTAATTCTTCTATGACAGTATGGGACATACCTCTGACCTATGGTCAGTCGCCGCCGCCACGCGAATCTCACAGTGGTGTGGCCTACACGGACCGAAACAGTGGGAAATCTTCTCTAATAATATATGGTGGTATGAGTGGCTCGCGTCTGGGAGACCTCTGGGTGCTCGACGTGGACAGCATGTCCTGGTCCCGCCCTGAAGTTGGTGGGCCACCCCCTTTACCCCGCTCTCTGCACACTGCAACAGTCATTGGCCATCACATGTATGTCTATGGTGGCTGGGTACCACTCGTCCCAGACGAGTCTAAACTTGCCACTCATGAAAAGGAATGGAAATGTACTAACACACTGGCTTCACTGAACCTAGAGTCTATGACATGGGACAACATCGCTTTGGACAAGTTTGAAGAGTGTGTTCCTCGAGCTCGAGCAGGACACAGTGCTGTTGCCATTCAAACTAGACTATATATTTGGTCAGGAAGAGATGGATACCGGAAAACTTGGAACAATCAAATCTGTTGCAAGGACCTGTGGTATCTGGAGGTTGGAGTACCACCACAGGCAAATCGTGTGGCCCTTGTCCGTGCAGGAACTACTTCATTAGAACTGTGCTGGCCAGCAATGAACACAGTAACTACATTTTTGCTGCAAGTACAGAAATGCGGGAAAGTCACTCCTGCGCGTTTCCCAACTGCTGCGGAGCCTTTGGCCGCGCCACCACCAGCATCGCCTGTAGCCAGCCAACCCGATGCTAGTAAGGCGTTTGGTATCACGTCACCTGTCGCTAGCGGCCTTCCCCCAGCAGCGGAGCCCGCTCGTGCGACACCTACAGTTGCCTCCCCGGCACCGCCACCCATCACATCAACACCTCAGAAGATTGTTCCGACTCCTATCAAGGTACCAGCTCAAGCTGCAGTCAAAATCACACCTAACACCCCAACAATCAAACAAGCTACTTATCAAGCAAAGACAGTGGTAAAATCTCCTGCAACAGCGACGGCGGGCTCATCGCAACAGATCAAGGTCGCCGCCGTGACGCCAGGCGTCACTAGGATTGTGAGTGGGGTCGGTACACCTAGCACCGTACGTGTCTCCACCTCGCAGCCTAACACGCAGATCGTGTTGAGTTCTGCCACAGCTGGCGGCGGATCCACGCCGCGCTTCGTTCAAGTAAAAACGGGCACAAGTGGGGCTGTACCAGTCAAACTTGGAGCGGGCAACATGCCAGTGAAACTTGCCGGTAATGCCTTAAAAATAGGTACTGCAAACATCCAAGGCAAGATTACTACAAACAGCGTACAGAAAGTTGGCCAAGTAGGCGGTACAAACGTACCGTTGAAACTAGGCGCAGGTAACGTTAAAATAGGTACAAGCAATGTGCTGGTGAAGACAGCTGGCGGTGTTCCCATCCAAGCTGGAGTAGCTAATCTTCAGACAAAAGTAGCGGCAGGAGTGCCTGTGAAACTTGGTGCAGGCAACTTGCCCGTCATAGCGAGCAGCGGTGGCGCGATACAGATCGCCGGCAGTGCGCTCGGTGGTCAGCAGGTTAAGACGCCTGTCTACAAGATCGTGACCGCAAAGTCTGGCGACCAAACTGCGACGTCAACTACGAGTGCAGTAGCGGGCGGCGCCACTGTACTGCGGCAGGCAGGCGGCAACGCCGGCATACCAGTTATAATCAAGAAAACGCCCGGCGCGAATGCGCAATCAAGTAATGCTCCACAATACGTGACGCTGGTGAAAACTTCAACTGGCATGACAGTAGCGACCATGCCCAAGGTGGCTATGATGCAGAATCGGCCGACAGCGCCAGCGACGGCGGCGCAGGCGCAGAGCATTGCGCCCGGCGCCACCATCGTAAAACTGGTATCGACGAACACGGTCGGCGGCAACAAAATCATAACGCTGCCGTCTAACATGCTGCAGCTGGGTAAGTCAGGCGTGGGCGGCAAGCAGACCATAGTGATCACCAAGTCTGCGAACCAGGCAGCGCAGTCCAACCAGCAACAGTGAGCGCCGCGCGCCGCTGGAGTGACGAGTATTCTCAGAGTGCCCTTAGCTAGCCGTGAGCGGTGTGTGCGGCCAGTGCGTGACTGACGAGTATGCAGAGAGGTGTCTCTAGTTTGTAAATTTCAATATTAAAAACACTGAGTGCGTTTCTCGAACTACAGTATATTCTAAATCATATTGAATATAGTATATGAGTCTTTTATATGTTAAATGGGTCTGTGTAGAAAATGTCCTCATAGAGTTTTTACTAAAATATTTTATTTACTCTTATAAATTAATTATATTAATGTATGTGACTACACACCAATTCCTAGATTCAAGTTGCAACCTGTGCCCGCAAGCAGACTATGAACGTGAATGAAATACCATGAGTTTCCAATCAAGTTGGCCCAATAGGAATTTACACTTAAGTGCCTGTTGTGCAGTTGTGCTTAGATGTTGTACTGGACAAGGTGTTTGTGAAGTAGACTTATTTCTTGGCAACCACTGTCTCTTTTAATAATATAATTATACAGAATATGTCATGTTAATTGTAAGACTTAAGTTTTAATAATTGTATTAGATTATTTTTGTATGTTATTGAAATTTGTTATATAAACTATGTTTAAACAAATTATTTTCCAAAAATTCATCCTGGTTTTGTGTAATTAATTTGCAGTTTCAAGTTTTTTTATTGATTATCCAGTACATTGCTATCTGAAAGCTACTATACAATACATTGGACATGGCAAGTACAAGACATAAATTGTTTTAAAAAAACTGTCTTCCGTGTTTTAAGTTTCCAAAGAATCCTCTGATTTCAGACACAGTGTGTATGTAGTGTGCTAGAAGTTATACATAATATTTCTATTATATCATTACTCCCTGCTTGTAATGGCCGCATGTTTCAAAATGCATATTGTTCACAAAGTGGACACAATAGTGATGCGGCCATTAGGAACATGGTGACTTGTTTCTTAGTTTTAGTTAAATCACAACATAGTATGCACTATTTAAGTTTTATATGACCAGCTGTTGAATTTAATGGCATTTTTATTGACATAGTTTGGATCAATGGTGTATCTTTAACTACATTTTGTTTGCAAGTGCCGAGGCTATTTTCAGTATTTGAGACACCCCATTGATCTGAAGAGCTAACAACTTATCAAGGGACCCAACCTCACCTACTGCCTAGGCAGTAGTATACTTTGTTTCACTACATTAATAATAGTAAAATATTAAATACTGCTAGTTTTCCGAAATACTGCTTATTTTTCTTCTCACACTTTCTTGCTGTCAGACAAGTTGGTAGCTCTAGAGTAGTCAGCCGTCCGCCTGCGTCGCGGTGCGCCTGGACGTGTGGGGAGTCTCAACGTGTTCACGATACGGGCACCTTCATGTAACTATGACAATTATTACATTGATAAAGCTATCAATAACTGTTCCGAAAATAATAATATAATATTTTAAAATAAAAATGCAGAATGTTGTTTTTTGGCGGGGGAAATTGTTCAGAGCAAAGTGATTGGCTACTCAAGTAGTGTCAAGTTGTATGAACATACATAGATATTTTTTAATTGTTTTAAATATGTTTAACTGTTGATCTCGTGGTAAGAATGATGTTCTGCGTTTTTATATAGTTTAGTGTAAGTGTCCTAGGTGTACGTACGTAGAAATAATCATAATATAATAAGGTAAGCGAGGTATGGAATGTAAATATCATTAAGTAGATAAATTTAATGTTATAGTTTGTTCATATTATTATGTTCATTTGCTTGAATAAACGATTTGGATAAGTGCAACTTTCATTTGCAACCACCAGATATGGTAACGTTGCGTAATGCCACATTTTACATTGCCGACTTTTGTCTAGTCATGAGGAATAAACTAATCAACTAGGTCATACATAAATAAATGAGACGTTTTCATAAATATTACAATACTACTTCATTCAAAGATTGAACCTAGAACCCAATTTGAGTAGAAAACGCGCAGATGCCACTGACACGTGTCAGGCACGCGCGATTCCTAACATTGACATATATTTTTATCTCTTGTGTGAATGTAGGGCACTGACTTACAATAGAATAAATTATGCGATTTGTTTTTTTGATTCGTTTATTTTACTAATTCATTTTAGTGAATTTCAGAGTGAATTGATTATTAACGCCATCTGTGATATTATTGTGGTACTAACTTCCCAACAGACTTAGTCAGAGTATACATTAAGTTTGAAATAATTATAATAAATTAAAGAAATAAGTCCAATATTCGGACAATAATGAATAAATAAAAACAAAATGTGAATTCAGATAACAATAAACAAAAAGGTTATCTCAATGTTTCACAACATGAATGATTAAACTTGTGTCATTGTCATCAAATGTAACTAGATGTCACTACTCGCATCAAAATGTTAGTTACCTAGATGAAATAGGTGAAATGTGAGATAGACTACAATATAAAATGTGAGATGGAATAATATAAAGACGTTTTTTTTATTAATACCTACTACATAATTTATATCACTTTATATACTATATAGTGGGTAAGAAAAGACGAATAATCAATGTTATTTTTATCTTTTGACTTAATTATGCAATATTAGTGGGTAGGTACCTATTCCTAGATACCTTCTACCTAAATACTACTGATAGTTTCCGATTGAATATCATTAACTATGAAACGAATAAACTAGAGTAAACATTGCGAACGTAGATTTTACTTACAGTGCATTATTTTCAAGGCTACGAATGCACTGCGACCCGCTCCATTTTAGTATCGTAATTATGCGGAGACACGAAGCGAATTTTATTAAAAAATGCATTCAACCAAAGGTCGTTTGTCGTCTCCTTATACATATTGTTCATTTGCACACAGGGAAGCACAATAATGTATCAGAGTAGGAGAAGGAACTGGGTGGTATTAGCCACAGGTATTAGCCAATAAGAGTGACACTCTTATTGTTTCAACTACAGCGGGAAAAGTGATTAATTAGATACCCCCGCATGTAGGTACAATATTTGCGTAAAAAACATCACACAGACCTATTTTTCTCTGTGGGTGTGTGATGTCCAGGTAGGTACTTCTTCATTCTACTTTATAGGTACTACCTACTTGAAATTGAGTGCCTACTAGACAATTGATCAAATTCATTACCTTTTTTGAACTGAATATTATTACATAAATATAAATAAATACGAATGTTAGTAGGTACCGTACCTATCATAAATCAAATATTTTTTTTTACAAAAATAAATGATTTTTGCTTTTCAATATCCTCACTTTCATTCACACGTAACTTAAAAAAGGAAGTAAAAAAAAGTAAGTGTAAAGCATTGACATAGGAAATATATGGACTTGAAATACCTACGAAAAGAAGGTGCCTACCTACAATCCAAAATGTCGCATAAGATGGCTACCGTTGCTAGGGTTGTGCCGACTAAGTATTTATCGAGTATCGATACAATTTGAGTAAAAGTTCTACGTAGGTATAGTTTTAGGGATTAGCCAGCTGATTAACGGTATTTTTTATGGGAAATCATCTAATGTCATCTCCGGCCTTTTTCGGGACAGACCGTTACTGACTAAAATCAACTCCTGTTCCTACTTTGCCGTCGGCCTAGCTAGAGCCCGGAACCCGGGGTTAACTTGGTCTCTTGATTGGCTAATGATTTTCTCAAGTCGAATTTGTATTCATATAATTCTACGTAAAGCGTCTTTTAAAAAAATAGGACTGTGTTTATGAACAGCGTTTAATGGAATGGTGAAATAGAAAAAGATAGTGTTTGTTAAATGTTTATCTTTATATATGTGGAAAACCTGTGGGTATTTGTGAAGTGCTCGCGCACAATTTCGGCGCGTCTGATTAAGCGATGATATCTTCGAAACTACGTTAGCACAAAATAGATATGTAGTGAAGTCAATCTTATTGTATGTATCTCACTTTTTATTATTACGCTTGGTGGTCGCACTGGGATCGTCGCCAACGCCGCTCTGTCAATCGCGCCCGTATAATTATAAAACATGATAATTTGAACTTCTACTTATGTAACTAAAACCAATACCAAAATGCTGACGTCTTACTTTAGCGTTACACAAAACTGCGGAAACATCCATTGTTAAAATAGATTATTTAGTATAATATATGTTGAATTTTAAATGGGAGATTATATCGATACTTTTGTGAAATGGTACGTAACTATGCCATATTGACATATAATTGTAAACAACATTTTTTTACTAAAACTGTCTCACAGACAGAAATAAAAGTAAATATATATACTTTGGCAATAGATTAAAGTATCCGTGACATTTTTTTCTATATATGTGGATTATTCTAAGTAATATTTGATGAAAACTGTTTACTAACCTATACAAAGACAGTTGAGGTTGATTTTCGTTCTTTTTTGTACCACACTGCACAATACAACACACAGGCATATTGTTTTTTTGTTTCACTATTGTAACGTTTACGTTGGTAGTAGGTAGTTTAATAAAAGAATACGTTTGGCAGTTACGGTTTATTAGGTAGGTAGGTAGTGTCGGTGAAGCCGGGGTGAGTTCGAATAACGAGCGCGTAACGAATTTCAGTTCGCCAGTAGAACACCACTATCCTGAATCAGTAGCCGGTAGGGTAGGTAGGTCGCTCGCAGCTCCGCAGTAGCACGGCCGTCGATGATGCCGGGTAGACCGTTGACTTCTGTGTGAAGGTCACGAAGGTCACGAGGTCAAAGTTGACCAGCCGACTCGGACAGTAGATAGGATTAGGTGCTTGAATAGGTGCATAAACCCTGGAATTCGGTAATTGGCCGTCTTAGAATATGACCGAATCCATGCTTTGACTGCAACATCCCTATATCCACCAACACGGTCTACTAAAAGGGAAGCAGTGATCTAGCATTAAGCAGCTATCGAGATGAGGCAGTCTAGGCAGCGTGGTACAGTAGCAAAAGCACGACGTTAATTTTGTGATTTGCAGAAATAATTAATTTGAAATTAACAAGAAAACAACATTATTAAAAATAGTTAAAACATGTAGGTAGGTACACATTACTACTGGTAGAATTTAAGAACATAAGAACAAACAAAAATGTATGACCTCTATGAGAAGGTCAAAGTCAACCGTCAATTTGAATAAACGGATATTAATTGACAATATAGCATTTAGATACTATATTAGCCTTTTAGACACTATACAACACAACACAAAACATTACTAATTACTTTTGAACACTAAGGACAGATCCAAAACATTATGAGTTATATTTACGAACAATGAAAATAGCAAATCATGCAAGCAACGATTAGCTAGCTATAATTGTAGTAAAGATTTGTTTTGCAACACTCACCCGATCTGGGGTAAACACTGAATTTAATTTAATTTGTATAAATTAAAATACTTATTAAAATAGATTTTTGAAAATAAATTAAATAAAATATGTGAATTTAAAAAACTGTTGTGATGACTGAAGGCGTCTGTCCGCGGTTGCGTAGTAGCCAGTATGATCTCTTTGAAGTGTATATATTCTCACCAGCGGCGGCGAGTCGCAGTCTAGGTGGAAGGGATCGTTCGCCAAACCGGTTTCCGTGGCGCGGTTAGCTACGCGGCGCGCGGCTCACGGCTCATTACGTTGAAATGAATATTTTTTGATTTAAATAGGCTTTCGGCGATATCGACTATTTATTAATACAGAAAATAACGTGCAACGTTACAGTACCCCCCTTTTTAGCGTAGGATTTTCCCTAGAGAAAATCCGCTGCTTTCTCTCTTGCTAACAACTGACCTGAGTTACTCTTTCATTCATCTTCATTCATAATTTAATCATCCCTCACTTTTCATTATTCCTTTCATTAACTAGCCGACATCACATTTTACAACTGTGCGTCAGCGTCCTTTCGACCTGAGTATTCTGCTTGTAGTGCACAGAACACTCACTCAGTTCAATTATAGCTGGTATAAAAGATTAAGCTGAAATAGAGCGATTACTAACTACACATAACTACTAATTGATAGACTGAAGATTAGGAAAGATAAATAAATAAGTTATGTTTGTGATTAAGGCTTATTTTTAGAGTAATCAACCGCTATTGCAAAGGCTTATTTAAGGAGTTGCACCGCTCCGTAGAATACCAAAGGTGTAGGGCCTTTAGCATACATGACTGAAGGGATCTATGGGGTAGAACCATGATCAAGTTTTATTTATAACCATCGGTGTAGGGCCGATAGTCATAGTATATTTAATATGATAGTAATACAATGTATGGGGTAGACCATCATCATATAAACTATTGGGGTAGACCAATAGGTGTAAAATAAAAAGGGACTAGCTATGTGTAGTAGTAGTAAGTGGGTATAGAATTTAGTGCATATTTAGTTTTAGTTGAATTTAAGATTTGTTTAAAAATGATATATTTAGCGATAATCAACGTAGTTTTAGTTATAAAAATTTAGTTGTAGTATTTAGTTGCGATAGTTTAAAATATTTAATTTGCTTTACAGTTTTAGTTCTCTTTGACAGCTTTTAAATCCTTGGACGGTTCTAAATGAGATTCCAAAATGTCCTCAGAAGGTAAAATAGAAGATGATTTAACTATCTGTTTTCGAAGCTCGCTAACCGAATCTCCACCAACACCGCCACGAACAGTAACTTCATAGTCGAGTTCAGCTTTTTGTAGCGATAAAAACTTAATAGGGTAAGCCATGATAAAAGTTTGAAAAAAACCGCAGCGAAATGTGTGTTGCAAAACGAAAAATAAAAATGAAAAAAAAAATACAATATAAAAAGGTAAAACAATT